TTATAAGTGATGTAATGGAACCTTTATCTGTTTTTCGTATTAAATGCTCCTTATACTAGGTATTTATGCAGCTAGTTAGTCATACACCTAACACTAGTTTCAGAAATTATTCTAAAAAAACGGATGACTATCGACTAACAAAATACCTGAACTAATTGCATATGTAAAGGACAACTATCCACGTGTATTGTCTATGTACAGCACATGTCAAGTCACACTTCCATAATCTAATAAATATCTATACCTACACTCTCGTCTGAATAAATCAAAATTCAAATATAATATATTTTATGCGTATGTGTAGATCGTCATTCCCGACGATTTTTCGGTCGTGTCCCAAACAAAGATTCATAAATTATTTTCGATTCTATCGAGACAGGGAGCGTGCCTGCTCCCGCTTTTAATAATATTTAAATTTAGAACGGCGAGGGATGGGACATGTGTTGTAACGCGTTTGGCGAAATGTGATTACAGTCTGTAATTAACGAGCTGCTATTTATGGCTCATCCCTACAATTTAAATATTTTCTTTACATATTTCGAAAATAGAATCACGAAACAGTTTCGGAATCACAACGACGCACTTTAGAAAAATAATTATTGTATTCCGTGAAAGTGTTTAACCGTTGGCCAACCGTGTCATGTCCGTATTGTCCGGCCTCTTGAAATAAAGCACGCTTTCAATTGCAGACTAATTATTTCAACACGAGAAACTCATTCGACGCCGTCCGTTTTTACGTGTAAAGAGAGATTAGTCGACTTAACGACTTGGACTCAAAGGAGCATTGTGATGCTCACCGATAATGTCGATAGGTTAAGAAAAGTATCACATTGTGTCCATAATGGGTGGTTGAAAAGCAAGGTTTCTTATAAAATTTCATTTTGGATTCAGAGCTCGTCGCTGCGGTGTGTCACTGTTCTCTGGTTATGAATAAATTACGGTCATACATTAATTTATTGATTGTTATTCAAATTGGGTTTCTCAATCGGAGGTTGGAGGTGATGTGTCTCGTCTCAGTTTTTGTCTTTTGATGTTTTGAGGTTGACGTGTATTTTTGTATGACAGAAAATGTTGTCTACCTATTATACGTGTAATAGGTAGGTCGGCATTCTACTTAACATTTGCGTCACTTCGCATTTATAATCCACATAATACATAAATTTTCAGAATAGATTAATGATTGACAAGTGAGAAATTTACAAAATTTTACAGTTAATTTGGTGTTAAATGTTATTGTTGATAATGTTAGAGTGGTTTTTGTTTCCGATTAAGAGACTTATTTTGTTTTTATATTTCTTTATTCGTTAAAATATTTTAAAGCAGAGCATATGTTCTATTATCTTATTTGGCGGATATATCTGAATCTATTATTTTGGTTACGTTTATTGTCCACCACGTTGTAATATGGATGAAAGAAGTTTAAGAAGTATACAAATAAGATGAGGATTAAATATTAAAAAGAAACATAATTTGACCTAAAACTCAATTGCTAACAGTGTGTCGGCGCTAATCAAACTTGCATCTTGAATGAGCAATCCGTATCAATAATATACATGTTTTGGTGCCGTATAACGCTAGTATATAGCCGCCTTTAAAATTCTATTATTGCCGTTTGATACGTTAAAATAGGTATGTAGTATTTAATATACACAAACAAATTATTTGTAGTATTTCAAAAAACACGTTTAAATATCACGTAAATATTGTCACATCACTGACTCTTTAAATTCTCAATAAATAAGTGGATCGTTAATTCAGTTGGACATATTGATTTTTCCAGCTCTCTGATTGGCTAGTTCAAAAACTGAAGAGCGATTCTTCTACAAGCATACATATAAATACTGTAATAAAGTCACAATATGTTTCTTAGAACTTAATTCTCGCTTCAACTGTTTGTAATGACAAAGGAACTTTTTATTATTTGATCGTTCTCGGTTTCTGTTATACTAACGTCCAGTACAAATTGATCTCTAACAAAATACTATTTAAACAAAAATTTTGCTCACCGGTATCAAAAGTAGATATAAAATCGATAATTTGACATTGTTGACAATCCATCCTAAATTTATATTACTATATATTACTTGTGTATGTTTTCAGGGTTTTCTAGAGCGTTGACCCGTTACAAGATACATAAAATAACATAATAAAGGGAATTAAATTGCTGGCGATATTTACAATGGTGTTCTAATCGTCAGAGCTCAATTCAAAATGGTTGTAGTTATAATTGTCGCGGAGACGTGATTTTAATATATCATGCATGTTGACTGGCCTCTTTTATCGCGTATGCAAATAAGCATCGATTCTGTAAGGTTTTCTTGGCAAGGCGAGCCCGAATGGGGCATAAAACAGTCGTTAGCTTTAACGTTCTTTTTTACAGACCGTACATTGGTACATTCTTTCATTTGAATGAATTAAAGAAACAATCGATACACAATATCGTGGTGGATAGTTTAGAAATATAGATTAGACTACAAAATTGCATCAAGACTTTTCTATGGAATGTTGTGAAAATTACATTGTTGAAAATAATATTTGTAAAATATTCCTTCCTTAAGACACTTTGTCAATGTTAGATAGTATTGTTAATTGGAGTTGCCATGTTCGGATAATTTTCTATAGGCTTAAAAGTATACATAGTAAAATTATGTTTAATAATGTTTCTAAGTAATGAACAATAATAAATAAAGGATACTGAAATTTTTTTAACCAACGCGTACGATCGTCAATTATTGTCACTTGGCATTAGCTGAAATTGCTGGCAAGCGTGTGTCTGTTTTATTTTAAAAAAGAAACTTTTTACTAAAGTTACAAGTCAGTACACATTCAGCTGAAGTTCCCACAAAGTATGAGTTAGGAGAAGTACCGTTTAAGTAAAGTTTATTCGAGAATATACAGAGCTAAGAGCCGAAAACAGAGACAAACTTTCACTCCATTCGATTTCCAAATTCAAATTTAAAATATCTACATTTCATTGGCAAGCAAATTACAGTAGAAGTCGTCGGAATGATAAAACTTTGCTACCCAATCATTAGGGTAAACTCTTTAAATAAATATTTGTTGACATTTATTATTTCCAACAATTATTTTGAAATGTAGGCAGGATAAAACCAGAAGAAGATCTGAAAGTTTTAGTTGATAGTCGTTGTGTTATGTTAAAAACAATAAATTTACGTTTTTCTAAAGACTATTGGTGTATTTCATTGTAGACGTCATACAAGGAATAGGTCATACGTCTTCGAGTTTGATACAATTGGAAGTTTATCCATTGTTAGTTTTCACTGAGGTGCTAGAGATAGTATCGTGACAATAATAATATCTGAACCTTCCTTTGTGTCGATTCAGTAGCTGTCGCGCTATTTACTGGGAGATTCCAGCGCCTCTTTAAGATTTGTGCTGTATAAAATTTGAGCTTTAGCTTCGCTTTGGATTAAGAGTCTTGTTGAAGAGGAAAATGTTTTTCATATCTTTCTTTATAATAGTAATAGGTAGATTACTATTTTGTTATTGGAAATGAAACTATTTTTCGGATCCAAATCGCGAATATTTGTTTTTCCAAACAGGTTTTGAAAATTACTATTTTGTATAATGTAAATTCGTAGAATGGCGCTTGTCTCTCAGTGCGGCAAACAGAGAACTTTGTTTATTTGATTGATTTTTATTACCTACATTGAAAGGTTACCAGATTAGATGATTTTGGCTAGCACTTCTTTAAACTGTTAAATTTATGAATTACAGTTTTTGTATTCTTTCGTTATGAACATCTGAGGGGTACTGTCAAAGCTCCCGACACCCTGAGATATAAGCTGTAAGACTCATATCGATGCCTTACTTTCTCAAACACGTATCTTATAAAGAGTGATTATTCAGGAGATGGCAAAAGTTTCTATTTATTTTAAGTTTCTTATCAGACGTGTTATAATTTGGATGCATTACTTTAAGAGTAGGTAAAAACCAGTGTGTGAATACGAAGGAAATATGATGCGAAATCAGCCTGCAAAATTTGTGAACATTGCTGCTTAGAGTCTGAAATAGGTAAGGTGGCAGAACTTCCCTGGGCGAACTCATTCTAAAGGAGTTCCATTGCTACTAAAAAGTATTTTATTCTAAAGCGATGTCTACTAAAATTTCGGAGTGATGCACTCCAATAGCTTTAACAAAAATCAATCCTAAGATGACTGTCATTTTCTTAGGCCATTTGACTTGCTGATGCTAACACCGGTGGTCCTGCGGGACCCTTCCGACCTCTTCTATTTGTTAATAAGCACCCACCTCTTTTGTGTGGCTATTAATATAGCGAAAAGCCTTACGAGAACGGATAGCGTGAGAAATGAAATATTGTGGAATTATTAAGCTGTGTATTCGAAATTTCAGTAGATAAGTGTCTTTGAAGAGTTTGTGTGCTGTATGAACAATATATCTACAGAATAAATATTCCTCGAGGATTCTATCATCCATTTGTGTTTGCCTAACTAACTTACTTAATAATTTCGAAGTGATAAAATGCAAAATATTATACAAATTTATAGTAATTCGTCGCCGAATTTTATACCTACTTCATTAATAAATTGTATTGTTATAATCTCAGTACAGACTACTAAAAAAAACCGACCGCAAAAGTTCGTGGAATTACATCTATTCACCAAGTTTTATTGAAATCGGTTACCGGAAAGTGCGCGAAATCTGATTCATCCTCTGGTCTGGGTTTCTTAAAATTTAAATAAAACCATTATTTAGGTACCCTCTTTCCAAAAAAAAAGAAAGAATCATCATAATCGGGTCATAATATAATAGAGTCGAAAAAGCTATCGCTTATGCCTTTCAAATCGCTTATTTTAGGGCTGCACACTCACACATCGCATCTCATTATGTAAATTCTATCGCGAGATATAAGTTTTTTTAAACATTCTGTTGGTTATAATTTTAATTTCAATAATCCATTGTCTGAATGTTATTAAGGTATGTTCTTTGTTAAAGTTATGTTTCATATTTTGTTCTAGGTATGCTTTCAGCCTTCTAGCTTCAAGTTTCCTAACTTAAATTCAGTAAGTAATGGTTTTAAGTATTTGATTTTAATTACTTACATAATTGTGTTTTTTCCGTTTTACATAGTGCATAAGAGATTTATAACATTTGAAATACATATTGTAAATGATAAATATGTACAAATGTTTATTTACAAAGAGCAACCCGTAGAATTTCTTACTCATTTGCCAACAATATGACGATTACACGTGTAATTTGTTTATATAAAACAAATAATATTTGAATTTCATAGAAAATCCTATTCCTTTAATTTTTTAACTTATTTTAATTAAAATAGATAATCGGCTACGAAAATCTATATTATAATAGTAATGTGCCAGGCAACCTCATCAATTACCTTGGTGTCAAACTAGGGAATTCACTGTAGGTATTATGAGCACCAGAGCAATGAAATTAACTTTGGTGCTTTTCCCAGAACACCCAGACCAGAACCAATTTCGAAAAGTTCATTTTCCAATTTGGTTCTACCAGGAATCGAACCCGAGACGTCCTCATCTGACGCCTATAGTCTAAATCATTGGGTCACCGAGGCCGTCAATACTGCAATAAAATGGCTCAAACTTAATTTGCCGGTACATTATCTTACCTATATAAGTAACTAGAAGCTTTTTTCAGCTTATGATTTTTCTAATTAAACAATTGTTACTTTATTATAAAAAGAATCGACCTCAAAAGTTCGTGGAATTACATCTATTTGCCAAGTTTTATTGCAATCGATTACTGGAAAGTGCGTCAAACCGGTTTGACGCTTTTTTTAGTTTGCCATTCTTAGAGGTGGAATATTCCCTTCAAATTTAAATGGGTCCAATGCGGAGGTACCCTCTTTCCCAGAAAAAAGAATTTATTTTTAAGTCGGTTAATTAAACCGGCGACAGCAGATGCGTTATCTGTAGTAGTACTTGTACTATCATCTATTTAAGTTAAAGGAAACGGTTATTCTGGATATAATTGTCAACAGTAGCCCTCCCAAATCGAGTAGCCAAGCACTCTGAAGAGGCCTACCGTATTACTCTGCCCTCTCGCCTACGGTATTTACTCTGTACTCGGGATGTTGTCACATAATTGCCTCCAGCTTGTGTGGTCATTCGAACATTGGTCAAGTTTGAACAAGTCTCTTGATTTTAATAGGGCCCATGTACAAATAAATTCGGATGGCAACACTTTCACCGATTTTAAAACATTGCAGTACTGTACGCATCGGGCTGACCTTGAAATGGTTGGTAAAAATGCGTTGACCTACAACACGGTCGGGTCCGCGTCTACAAGTATCTGAACTAAAAGGGATCGCAAAATGAGCATCAATCGCACATCAGTACTTTATATAAAAACTTGTAAAAATTACTCAAATAAAATTAAAAAACATTGCCCATTGATATCAAATGGGATTACTTGCAATAACCACCACGATATTGACAGCCTCCGTGGCCGGACGGTTACCATGCCCAACTCCCAGGTTCAATTCCCGGGCCAGGATTAGTATTTGAATGGCCTACATTTATTTCTCACGTGAGTTTGGGGGTAATTTGTGGTTGTCAATGTATGTGTTCATGGCACCCGCGACACTGGGTTTCCCAAGTGCGGGGCTACGTTGAGTGTGTGCGTTATTATTATTTTTATTATTGACGATTGCGGCAAATGGTATCGAATACACAATGCCCAATCGGCAAGCAATCGGATAACGAATTCATCCGAATGGTTTAATGGACAGGAAGGAGCTTCAGGGCATTTCCTATATTTATCCATTAATTGCTTTCCGTTGTACTTGTCTTTGACCATTTTATAAACTTTCGCTACCATTCGTAATTTGTCGACATACAAGACATTACTGTTTGTGATGTTTTCCGAAAATTAATAAGCATATACACTATTTAATATTACAACTTGTAAATAATAGTCTGTTGCAAAAAGCATAAAGCAATAAAGTCAGGTACTAGCATCAAGATGAGAGGATCCGCCTCTTCCTGTCTCACCCCTTGGAAGCATGGTCGCGTGCGCATGCGATCCCTTTTGTGCACGTGTTGTGATATATTTTTAGTCTTCTCTGTACTTACAATACCATCAATATGTTCAGGTGAAAAATACTCTTATAATAGACTGTTACAAATATTAGTATGCAGTAAAATCTTCTGCAGATAACTGATCAATTTGGTTGTTATGGTTCATATATTTGCGAATATGGTGCTTTAGTATTTTTGTGTTTAGGTTCTTTTTAACCAACTTCTAAAAAGGAGGAGGTTCACAGTTCGACTGTATTTTTATTTTGTGTGTATGTTACGCGGTTATTCTGACATTTTTGAATCGATTTCTTGATGATTCTTTTTTTTTTTGGAAAGGGAATGCCTTAGTCTTCAAATTTGAACGAAACCTTTCGTTCAAATTTGAAGAAAACATTCCACCTCTAAATTAGGGAATTAACCGATTTCTCGAAAATTTGGCAAATGGGTGTAATTTTACAACTTTTGAGGTCGGTTTTTTATTTCTTCACCAAATTCTTTATCATCAACAATTTATTTTACTTTTCAGTAACCACTTTGGGCGCACTGAGTTAAAAAGTACCGCACACTCGTTGTAATAAGGCCACAACTGAAAAATTATTATTTTTCAAGAGAGAGGTTTAAAGTTTCTACGAACGAAGTTAGTCGATAACTGCTTTATTATAATATTTTTTAATATAACGATGTTTTACTACTGGGGTATTCAATTATTTTTTGTGAAATAACTCTAGGTCAAAAATCTGAGGGGTACTGCCACTGCGCCCGTTACCCTGAGACATAAGTTGATAAGTCCCATGTGCCCGTAATTTCACCAGCACCCTCACCTATCAAAACCGGAACGCAGTAATGCTAACATGCTTGGCGGCAGAATTAGGTAAGGTGCGAGAACGAACTCTACTGCTCCTTAAAATTATTAATACAAAGATCGAATACTAAGAAAAATTCCCGGTTAGATTGAACCAGCACCTTCATCATTCAACTGCCTCCGTGGCCGAACGGTTACCATGTCGGACTGCCACGCAGAGGTCCCAGGTTCGATTCCCGGGCCGGGAGAAATATTTGTATGGCCTACAATTATTTCTCTCGTGAGTTTGGGTGTAATTTGTGGTTGTCTATATGTGTGTCCATGGCACCCGCGACACAGGGTTTCCCTAGTGCGGGGCTATGTTGAGTGTGTGCGTTATTCTTATTCTTATTCTTATTATCATACTGTATACAAATCGAGCCGACTTATTATAAGCAGCTCCCCGTTGACTTAAAAAACGAGGCTAATGATGAAACATTTGACAGAAAGACCTTTTGTTTGATAATGCGCACTATTCCATTGAAAAATATAGGGACATGATCTTGTAATATATACTCCTGTACATATAATTCGTGCCACCTCGCATTTTCGTCGTAAAGGGGCAGAATACAAAAACAATGTTATCATAGAAGAAAAAGTTTTTCACCGGTTTTGCAAATCCAAATTCCTAACAAAGACTTATGGAAAAGAAGTTCAGTATACTGGTTTTAAATTTGTGTAATAGTTTTTGATCAATCAAACATTGTTTAAGCTTAGGGCACTTAATACTGAAAATGCGTGGTGGCTCGAATGATGTGTCCTAATACTGAAAATGCGTGGTGGCTCGAATGATGTGTCCGGGAGTGTATGTTGTAATTTATTAAATTATATATTTTACAGAAATTGATAAATTACATAAACTTAACACATACAATTATTATTTTGACATAATTATCATTATATTATTTAATATGTTCTTAAATTATTTCACATAACATATTAACTATGTTAAAATTACATAGTACAAAAGTTGTCATGTATATTTGTAGTTTTTTCAAATGTAACATTTATTGCTATTTGTGACGGATCTTGTAATACAATATATTGTTTATAATCATTGACTTACAAATAAATGGACGACGGGTCTAATACAAAAACCACGAAAAAAATATCTTATCTTCTTCTTATCTTATCTATTCGAAATTTAAATTCTAATGTCATCGCAGTATCGCGCTGTCAGTCGAACAAATGAAGACTAAAGCGGAGTTTGGCGCTCTGTATACGATTTTAACGCCTTACAAGTGCGGACACTTTTTAGCGCGGACCCGACGTCCATATAATTGTAAGTCAATGTTTATAATAATGTAAAGTTTACAAGATAATAAATAAATTTAAATTTCGAATCCAGCCGGATCGAAGGAATTTTTGTCAATGTTCTACATGTTCTATTTTTGTATTTATAAATTTTAACTCCTTAATGCTTAAATAGGAAAGTTATCAAACGTAACATAATTTGTCTCATGTAGTTTTTATGACTTTCTTGTGATAGAAACACTTAACATATGATCTCATGTGGTTTTATTGTACCAAGAGTACGGTGCAATATCGTAGGCTTTTCGTCATCGTGATTTTACATTTTTCACACCAGTATGACAAAATAATGCATCTTTATAAAAATTAGAGCATTCATTCATTCTGCCATCACAGTACGAACATCAGTCACATTGAGTCGTAATAAAAATGTAAATCCACTGAGTTACGAGCAGACATGTTGAACGCTACTGTCCCATTGTCGCCCACACCTCTTCATTGTTTACTGGTTTACTCGCACTATCTCCTGTACGCCTTTTAATTGCTATTACTTTTTTAGTATATTGTATTCTGTTTTATTATACTGTTAAGAATACTTTTACGGTGTAAATAAAACCACCAGGCAGTCGATGACGTTTATATTGGCGAAGGTAAATTCTATTTTGTAGCCATCAAGGTACGTCCCATCTTTTTAAAAATTGTAACAGGGTAGTTTTAGGGTAATTATCAAGTTAGTTTCTTTACCTAATTTCCGTGGCAATTTTTATTCTTCGACTACAGTATCGTGAAATATAAAATAATAATAGAAATTAGTAGCAGTAGATGTCCTTGTGAAAGTGTTCTTTCAGGGAAGTAGCCACCTTACCTACTTCTGCCGCCAAACAGTAATGTGAGCATTACTGCGTTCCGG